GGACCTCCCGGTGAGAAGTCTTGAAGTTGTTTTGGGGTTGAGGCTTCTGGAGTGGAAGTTTCAAGCAGGGAACACTGCTCAAAAATGATGGAAACTCAGCCAGACATGTTATGAGGACCTGGTGTGCGGCAACAGTGGCTTTCGTTACCCGTGGGCTTCGTTTCTCAGAAAGTTTGTTGGGGAGAATGTGTCGAATCGAGGAATCCCCGCATTCCGCGGACCACCGCCCCTTTTTTAAGACTTCTACTACGCAACAAGGTCCCGCCCGCCATACATCGCGGAAGGTGAGAGAATTTATGTAAGGCTGTTGGGGTTCAATTCCTGAGCCTGAAGCTGCACTGAAGCTTGCGGCAGGAGCCAGGGAGGGTTCTGCAATGGTTCCTCCGTGCACAAAGTGGCCGCAGCATCGCTGGAAAGGCGGCGTTCGTTGGTGAAGACTTCAAATCTTTAGTTAGAGGAGCCGGATCATGAGCAAGAATTCCAAGGTACTGATTGATTCGGTGTCATGCACAAGCTGCCCTAGACTTTTCGTGACACCAGCAGCCTCCATTGACTGCATTACCCAAGATTTGTCGCACAAGTTGTAGTTCGCCTGCACATCGGCACCTGAACCGCTGGCCTCTCTTGGTGTTCCGGTTGCTGAGCCTGTACTGTACTGCTACACGTCTTCACCCAGGCTGTGACCCTTGAACAAATAAACCCACTCTGCCCACATGTTACATATGCCATGTCGGGCGAGAGCCTCTACGACGTGGTGTGAGGGAAAGGAAGCAGCAGGAGGGAAAAGCGAGCCTGAGTCACCCCTTTTTTGGATCCTCATCCCGGGCTTTCCGCTCCGAGGGCAGTGAACTTGCCGGCGCCGCTGCAACCTTTGAGGACCCTGGGCCTAATTGTGTTTCGTGGGTGCCTTGGGTTTGGTGATGGAGTTACAGCATGCTTCTTCGTGTTGAGTAGGGGATCGGGGGTCGAGGAGTGGGTTGGTGTGGTTCGAAAAATTTTCAAAGGCTGCAACGGCAAGTTCACCATGCTAAGCTTGTATGTCAATGTGCGGGGTTTCGGGTGAAGTGCCACTTCGTGGCACGGAGAAGCTAGAACTACCTTCGACAGGAAATGGCGGATGTGTGGTGTGGCCAAGACGATGCCTTCTACGTTCCCTGGTGGCATCTTAGTGCAGAAGCTGCGGTCCAAGTGATGCACTGCCGTGCACTCGTAGCTCGGGTGGTTTCTCCATGATGAGTCTTCATGAAGACTCATATACGCAAAAAAGCAACAAAGCGGCTTTTGCAGTACGTTGCTATCGCTGGGACTTCTGTAAATGTTCGTGCAGCAGAATTCGAGAACAGTCGCATGCGGCACGTGTTGGCTTCCGAGACGCAGAAGAATATGCAAGGTACTGTACTGCAGGAAGTTTGGAATCCATGTACGCCTGTTGATCTCCATGTGCTTCTCTGACGAAAGCAGGACTCCCGAAAGTGAGACATTTTGCAAAAGCATGGGCTTGAGTAACGAAGCGGGTCTCAAGGACAGACGACTGCATGCATCCACAGATGCAAGAAGCATGTCAGGTGCTGGACCGGGACGCGGAGCGCGTCGTTCAGGCCTTGCATTGCCATTGTTCGGATGTGTGCACTTCTTGTCGGTTAGGAAGGCGGGCTGACTCTCTTTAATCCAGATGCAGCCGGCAAGCTTGTCTGTTGTTGAGGACGCGAAAAAGATGCCAACATTAGCCTGCAGGCCACTAGAGCCAAAACCATATGCGTGTGGCTGCCAACTTTTTCATCTACCAGCATCTACCAAAAAGCACAGTTCTTTTTTTACAAACTTTACAGACTACAGTACGCCAGGTCCGCAACGGTGAAGCCGAGGTTGTCAGCAAGGCCTTCAGAGATTCATGGGACTCTCGCATTTGTGTGTGCTGTTTTTGTCTACTTTTGCCTGCTTTGGGAGATTTACAGGGCGTTGTTGGGTTTTTGATTTTTTTTTGGTGTGTGTGTGTGTGACAAGTGGAAGTATCGCTTTGCCATCGTTCCAGCCGCAGTTCCACCGCTGATGCATGTGCATGGATGGCATTTTCTAGGGCCTCCCCCGTTGCGGAGCTGTTTTGCGCAGACTGCGAGTCGCTTCCTCGCAGCCCATTGAAGCCCGAAGAAAGAAGCGCTGTCGAAAGCTGGAGCAGTGGTCAGGGCCCGATCCGGCCCGAACGCCCTTGCGCAGTGGCCGTGGAAGGCAGGACAAATCAGCTTTGTGGCCCCAAGCCTCACCTTTCGCAAAAGTCTGCAGGGAGCGCATGAACCACCGGTATTCAGGTTCCCACACGCCAGGTAATACCCAACATGGTAAACACCAAAGCTTTCATCCATCTACAGGGCTGTGCAGGTCCGTGTTGACCATGTCAGAGTGGCTGCTTGAACTAGCTCAATCAGATCGTGAGCGAACAGTTTCTGCAAAGCCTCCGTATGGAGGAGCAGATCGCGCCGTCTACGTCCTAGACCGCGAAGGTGCGTGTCAGCGATGTGTTGTTTGTCTTCCATGCTACCCAGTCCTTTTTTTACCTTTTTAAGAGACTGGCCGCAGTTCTCAGACACCCCCTGGCCTGACCCCCAGGCTCCCGTGTCATCCGCTACGTGCATGGCCGGGCGCTTCAGGCAGCCTCTTTCGAAGTGCTTTGGGTCGAGGGCGTCCCGGGTTATGATTGAGGGCCTAATGTCGCTACCGTTTTTAACGAAGGCAGACCGTTCCATCTCTGGCCGCCAGGTGGCAGGGAGCACCGAGCCGGGAGCGACAGCCGGGTTCGGAACCAAGCTGAGATGCAAGCAGCCTTAGGTGGCTTAGAACATGTGGGATGGGGTAGGGGGCTTGTGGGGGAGCATGTTTCGACACGCTCCCCAGGGCCCTTTGTACTTCTGCATGCCTATCGGCCTGCAGAGCTTCAGAACGCTTCCGATCATCCTGTGCGCATGTGCCTTCTTCTGTCTGAGGCCCACACCAGCCATCTAGGCTCAACCAAACTGCCAAACTCCCACCCCTAAACACCCTGAACTCACTGAAGCTCCCTTTCCCTCGCGGGCCCGAGGCACCTCAATGCTGGGCCTACGGGGCGGCTCTTTGCGACGAAGGGCGGGCGGCTTTACATCTCCGAACCTCGGCTCCGGGTTCCCGTCTGGGGGGGAAACTTGGGGGGGGGGGGGGGGCGGACGGGCTCCACTCTCGAGGGAGGCCTGGGAGCCCTGTTGTGGTGGGGGTCGGAAATCCAAGGCGGCTGGTGCACTCCCCCGAGTTCTGAGATTCTAAATGGTTCTAAGTTCATTGAGTTGAGCAGCCAGTGAAGTGCCCCCGCCCTTTACACCAGATTCCGGGTGTGTTCGGCAGACTTCGGGGCAGAGAGGGAGAGGCATGGCTCGCGAACCCGTCGGCTCACCAGCTGTGAGTGTAGTTCCTAGTAAAACCTAGTAACCTAGTACGTTGTGTGCATGAAACATGCTTGCGTCCGACTGCAATCGTACCTTCTCGTAAAAGTCAGCAGACGTCGTAACGCAGCAGGTTCTGACAGCTTCCATGAGTTATCTGCGTACACTTGCTGGGATGCTCTATGCAGACTGCAGCAGTACGGAGCAGTGCAGACACCAGGCGTTCTTGCAAATCTACACTTTTGAGGCGTCCAGGCTTTTGGGCCTCCGTACCTTCTAGACTATTGCGACGCGTGATTTCAACTCAACGCCTTTGAACCTTTGAATATCCTGCTCAGAGCTTGGAGCCTCTTGGATGCAGTGAGGTGAATGTGTTGTGGTAGCAGTGGTACCTTGGTCTTTTGCCCCCAGGCCGTGTGCCAACACGAACGTTCTTTCATTCCGGCTAGGAGGATCATGGATTGATCTGTGCGCGCGGCTCTCGCGAAACGCCCACGATGCGCCCGCGATACGCCCGCGATGCGCCCGCGAGACGCCCGCGAGACGCCCGCGATACGCCCGCGAGGAAGGGAGGCAGGGAAGGCAGGGGAGGCAGGGGAGGCAGGGGAGGCAGGGGAGGAAGGGAGGAAGGGAGGAAGGGAGGAAGGGAGGAAGGGAGGGAGGGGGGAGGGAGGAAGGGAGGCAGGGGAGGCAGGGGAGGCAGGGGAGGAAGGGAGGAAGGGAGGGAAGGGAGGAAGGGAGGAAGGGAGGGAGGGGGAGGGAGGAAGGGAGGAAGGGAGGGAGGGAGGCAGGGGAGGAAGGGAGGAAGGGAGGGAAGGGAGAGGGAGGGAGGGGAAGAGAGACAGAAGAGAAGATCTGCTCAATGAGTGAAAGAGGATCTAAGCTACCATCTACAAGCGGGGTGTGGGCTAAGACTCACCCTCTGTGTGTGTGGGAGCCAAACTTCCTACTGTAAACCCTAAACCCTAAACCCTAAACCCTAAACCCTAAACCCTAAACCCTAAACCCTAAACCCTAAACCCTAAACCCTAAACCCTAAAAGCAGGAGGTTGGAGCCAACAAAAAAGCGCGCCTGGGGAGGGATGGCAATGCTGAACCTACGCTGTGTGATCCTTTTTTGCATATCTGTCTCTCAACTCCTTTTCTTATGTTCACAGGACGAGGCGGCTGAACAGGTTCAGGCTGCGAAATCTGGCGTTGATACCCAGAAAAACAACTTGTAAGGCTTTTGAAGACCCTCAAAACCAGTACAGTGTAACCTGGCATGAAGGGACTTTCTCCTTTGGAGCATAGCCTTTCGTCTAACGGGGGCTTGTGTGTGTGTGTGTGTGTCTTTACATGCTGCCCCTCGAGACCATGTTTGCCCTCATAAACTTCAAAACATGCATCTAGTCCAAGCCTTGCATGGAGACCCCTATTCACACAGGGTTTCGGGATGGTGGGAGCCATCTTTGGCTGTTCTGTAGCAGGAGAACACAGATTCTCCGATTGCACCGGCTGTTTTTGAGATTCCAGAGGTTTAGGGTTTAGGGTTTATTGGGTTTAGGGTTTAGGGGGTTTAGGGTTTAGGGGTCAAAAACAGAGGTTCGAGGCCAGGGAGGAGAGCGAAAGGCGGCCGCGGAACTGAGGTCAAAAGTGATGACCTGCCACGCCTGCGGTGATGTCCTGGGAGCTTTGCTCCCGCCACACAAGGCCAGCAGCCTCAAAATGGGGAGAGGGTTTAGGGTTTAGGGTTTAGGGTTTAGGGTTTAGGGTTTAGGGGCTGCTGGGATTGCTCAGGGCTTTGTAGGCTTTGTGTGTCAAACCGGAATTGGAATCCCGAAGCTGCTTCTTACGAGGAGTCCTTTATGGGCTCCGGCACCGGAACGTTTGGGTAATCTTTCTTCAATTGACACGGGTGCCCGCAGAATTCGATCTACAGGAATCACTGGGCCATCCCCAGGACTGGGGAATCTGCAGGCTATCCTCCAGTACCTTTCAGGACATCCTCCGCGTTCCGACATGGAAATCACAGACTTCTTATGACTGAATCGTGAGCACACCCCTACTTCATCACATCTTTTTCACAGTATTCCCCTCTGCCATCCGGAAAATCGGCTCGGAACATCTCGGCTGCACGGACCCGCACGCGAAGTGAGCTGTTCGTAGTTTCAAGCCACTCAACTTGGGATGTTCCCCCTGAAACTAACAGTCCTTAAAAGGGATTGTAGTACCCTACTATATATAGTCTCTACAAAGGGCTGGAAACATCCCAACATTCAAACCAATTGCACTTGCCAGACTGTTCCGCCTGAAACATGAAAGCACATATAGGTGGCTGTCAAAATTATGATCCCTTTTGGGGTACCCTAAGTATGAGGTGCCGTATTATAATAGGGATCCAAAACGGGACCATAAATTTGACAGCCACCCATATGTTGATAGTCTGGAATGCAAGATCCAAGGTCCGCGGTTCTCAGAAGACTCTTGAATTAGGAATTGAAGCCTGCGGTCGACATGTTCAGCAACCACAAGAAGGTCAACATATCTTTTTGTTAAACATTCTGGAATGGTTCTTTATTCAGCCCACTTTGTGAAGTGAATGATTGCAGGTCTCAGCCGAAGACAAGAAGGAAGATGCAGATGTGGGCCTTCTGCGACAGAGTGGTTGGGCGAAATCGTGGCAGCTGTGGGTTCGTCCGGGTTCGGGGCTGCAGGTGTGGGGATATAGGCAGCCCATACGCTTGTCGGGAGCGAAGGCGTCAAGTACAGTGCTGCTGCGTAGCGCCCTCCATTGGAGGCTCAGGAGGTGGTAGCCCGTCATTTCTGCCATGCTCGACCATACCAATACCCCAAAGCCCGTGTAGGGATTCAAGGTGCAGGGTGTTGAAGGGTGCGAGCAACGCAGAGCACCAACAGCACAAGGAACAGGGGGGCACTCACAGCCTCAGCAGAGATATGAGGTCTTTGCAGAATGCTCTGAATGCTCTGAATGCTCTCTGTCTCTTCCCTAAACCCTAAACCCTAAACTCTAAACCCCACACCCTACTAAACCCTGAACCCTGAACCCTGAACCCTAAACCCTAAACCCGAAACCCTACACCCCAAACCCTAAACCCTAAACCCCACAACTCCCAGGGCTGATCCTGCAGCTTCTTCGGCAGCTCTCCCCCGTGCCCTCGCAATTGTCCACGACGATCTTCCAGCTGCTGCAGCCGCCGGCCCAGAGCATCGCCATAAAGGGTTTAGGGTTTAGGGTTTAGGGTTTAGGGTTTAGGGATACAAGGCCCAGAGCATCGCCATAAATAGCCCTACAGAGGCCCCTTTTTTAAGGGCCAGAAGGTCTAGTAGCCCATCCTGGAAGTATTCTTTGGGATGTCCCCCCTTACACTACCAGTCCGTAATAGGGATTGTAGTAGGGGGGGGGGGGGGTACTAGAATCCCTATTTAGGACTGTAGTAGAAGGGGGAACTGCACATCGATAAAGTAGAGTCTGTGGGGAAGTCTTGCGGTTTTGGGGCTCTCTGGGAAGAGTGCTGGGTCTGAGAACTCTGGCTTTTGTGCGGCCATAGGCATGGACAGTTGCGCTGGGGTTTAGTGTTTAGGGTTTAGGGATTAGGGTTTAGGGTTCAGGGGTTAGGGTTCAGAGTTAATGTGCAGGCTGACCATGGGCTTAGCAGTTGCACTGTGTGAGGTGCGGCATTCTCACCAAGGAGCTTCGGCCAGCAAGTGTTGCCGTCACGAGGGGTGGCTGCCTGGTTTCATGAGCTCCGTCACTATGGTCGTGTATCGTGTCGCACCGGCCACTACAATGCACCACTGCATTTTCCAGTCGGGCTTCGTTTTCTTCCGGAGATGCTGTGAGGCTTCAGGTCCAATTGAGCAGGTCGGTGGCTCTCTGCTGATTGCTCCCATGCTGGGCTCTAGGACACCCACTAGGATGAGAGAAGCCGGTGACATTTTTACTGACAGCCACCAGCTTCAGCATGTGTTGTCCACTATGAGCCTCTCCTTTGCCTCAACAGCCTACGACATTCCACGGATCCCTAGCCCGGAACACTGTCTCCCGTCCTTAAGCCCACCTCCCCCCCCCCCCCCCCCCCAGATCCTGGAAGGAAGTGCTTTCTGATGTGGTCGATGCGGGGCCGCGCCTCATGCCCCTTGTCTGGAAAGCCGTTGGTTCGCAACTTTCACAAGGGCTTCGTGCGACATGGACGAAAACAGCAACAGGGAGTTGGCGGAGTACGGCAGGTACACATAGAGCACATAGCCAGGTGTAGCGTTAAGCTTTAGGGAACCATGTCTTGTTTAACACAGCGATTGGAACGGTGTTGGCATATGCCGCGCGGGAGAGGACGATCTAGAGAGGCTTTGCTGTTCTGCATCATGGTGGGCCTTTTGCACTCGGAGCCAGAGCTGTTCAGCTACAGCCACAATAACCCTACACCCTAAACCCTAACCCCTAAACCATGCATTCAGCTCACCATGCACATCTTTCTTCCCACGTTGCCCCTGTAAGGCAGTTGCAGGATCGTGTCTCAAGTGCCGCGTGGCTGTTTAGTTCAGGATTGCGCCTGCTTCCAGTGTCCGCGCGCGTTCATTTGAAGATTATGAGGGTTCAATCTTGGGCCAACAGTTGGGGCTTGGTTCTGGTTTTCCGATTTTTGCATGTGAAGTACATGGGACAGTTTTTTTTTACGAAAGGTAGCTCTTTAGCAGCTTCTTCCTTTTGGTAAATCGCAACCCCCTTGCAACGATCGGAGTTAGGAGAAGAAACGCGTTGTACGCATTGTAGCTGCGGGCCACCATGCACTTCTATCCCCAGGTCAGGGTTCATGCATGAATGCAAGCCTGCACGCATGCTGTTTGCACACGCATGCGCCCCCATAGCAGAGACGCAGACGTGCAGCCACGCGTGCACGCACGCACACAATCATCTTGGTTCTTTCCGGCGCATGTGCCATGACTTCGACCACACCGCCCACCTCCCCAAATTAGAAGGCCATAGAATGGACTTCCTTAAAATCCACGAACTAACAGCCCTTTGCCGCTGATCCTTCGGCGATTCAACCTAGTCTGAGGCACTGGACACCACGCCACCAGTGCCTGCTTCAGGGCCAGGCGAAAGCCTTTCATGCAGGGACCTGTGGATGCTGCCCCGCTCCCAGCCCCAAGCCCGATACCGAAAACCCTCTAACGCATTGGGTGGCTCTTCGTCAGGAGGCCTTGCAGTCTCACGCTTCTTGCAGGACAGGGAGCTGAGAGTTTAAAGGTAGAGGGTTAGCGACGGTGAGGGCAAAGAGGACTGTCTTGTCACGCAAAGGCAGTATTGCGTCTGAGGCTGCAGGTTACCATGTCAGTTTTTCATACCACACCCTGGAATGCCAGAGTGTTTTATCCAAGTGCGAGCTTTGTGTAGGCGCGCGAAGGGTCGAAACGTTCCATCAATCCATCTTCTGTCCATTCCTAATGATGCTACGCTCTCCGCATCTTAAGCTGAAAGCAAACTTCACGGCTTTGTTGATTCATAAACCGAGCTGCAAGAAACTGCCAATGCCAGCTTCAAAGTACTATGCACCATCGTGGTTCAGATTCCACGACCGATTCAACCCTCTCACGAATCGACTCCCCGAAGCAGAAATGGAATCAGAGGTTGATAGCTTTCGAAGCCGAGCAAACCCCTCCACATGCCAAAAACCCGAGTTCATGGCGATGCCATGTAAATTTCAACCTCAAAACTCCCAGCTTCATTGCGAGAGTCTGCCAGGACTTCCAGTGCCTGGAGCGGATGGGCCACGGTGCCTACGGCGAGGCCCTGCTTTGAACCGTATTGTGCTTGCAGATTGTTTCAGGCTTTTAACAGCCTTGGGCTTCTGCGAAATCGGTGGACCAGCCTAAAACGCACTGAACCGACTGAGCCCCCCCATCCCCTGAACCGCCTGGACCCTAAGCCCGGGGCCCTCAAGCCACAAACCTCTGGAACGCTTGTGGGCATCGGCCGATGTAGAGAAGTGACTCCATTGACTCATTTGGGGGTTTAGGAAAATAAGGAACCCCGACAAGAGACCCCAAAGAGGAGGATTCCTTATAACAAGGACCCCAATAAGGTACCCCTTATTTCGGAAACCCCCTTTTGAGCCTACACGATACTCCGGCTGAAATGCGACAGCTAGAAGCTCCTCTCAGACGAGGTCTTCCGCTGCCAACATCGCCTCGACGGCCAAGAATATGCTGTGAAGAAGGCAATGGTCTTGGGGGTAATTATGCTTCGAGCACAGTAAACATTCTGACTGCGGATGACTTTGGGGATTGGGGATTCTTTCCTCGATGAAGATGGCTACTGCTGACAGTTAGAGTGGCTCTAGTCTCTGTTGGTAAGAATGTTTCCTTACGAGTATCTGCACGGAATCGCTGAACAGTTCTTGTTCCCTGGTGGTGAAGAGGGGTGAGGTTTGACAGCGCTTCAAATTGCTTGGTCAGTCTCGACTGCAGCATTTGAGAGCCAGTCCTGCCTCTAAACCCTAAACCCTAAACCCTAAACCCTAAACCCTAAACCCTAAACCCTAAACCCTAAACCCTAAACCCTAAACCCTAAACCCTAAACCCTAAACCCTAAACCCTAAACCCTAAACCCTAAACCCTAAACCGTTAGGGTTTAGGGTTTGGGGTTTAGGCAGCCCTGAAAACGTCGAAGCTCCAGGTCATCTACCGCTCGGACGGGGCACGCGCTCCCGGGGTCGAGCAGCGCGTGCTGCGCGAGGCTTCCAGGGGGTTTAGGGTTTAGGGTTTAGGGTTTAGGGTTTAGGGTTTAGGGTTTACGGTTTAGGGTTTAGGGTTCAGGGTTTAGGGTAGCTTGGTGGTTGCAAGATTTTGGGGCCTCCCATGGCCATCAGAATTTGCCGCTGAGCAGCTTGCGCTGCAGAGCGGCTTCGATCTGTAGAGTAATGTAGGGCCCAAAATGTGGGAATCCTCCGCACGGCACCTCGGCCCAAACCCTAAACCCTAAACCCTAAACCCTAAACCCTAAACCCTAAACCCTAAACCCTAAACCCTAAACCCTAAACCCTAAACCCTAAACCCTAAACCCTAAACCCTAAACCCTAAACCGCCTAAACCCTGAACCCTGAACCCTGAACCCTAAAACCCTTTCATCAACCGAAAAGCTGGCAGAGGCCCAGACATGGGCCAGCATCAGCCACCCAAACATCGCGAGGAGCCCAGGTTTCGCCCTGTTTCTTTAAGGTTTAGGGTTTAGGGTTTCGGGTTTCGGGTTTAGGGTTTAGGGTTTAGGGTTTCTTTTCTCTCCGCACCGAAACTCCGAAGAAGAAGGAGAGTCCCAGAGCTGTAGAGGTTCGAGATGCAGGCTTTGGGGGCTCGATTTTGAGTATGGTTTGTGGGTTCACCTTTACGCCCCCCATGGTCCGCTTAGGGTTATGGTGGCCTTCAGTACTCAGAAGCATAGGCAGCCAAGGGACAGGTCGAAGAAAGCCCATGGCACATGGCACATGGATCCCGGTGATATCTGACCCTTGCGGATGAGGTCCGTTACCACTCGGCCTGGGTGGAGGCACCCCTCACCCCGGGGTTTCTTACGATGGTTGGGGATCAAACCTCTCCCCCAAGCCCCCGCGCCTGCACATCTCAAGGAGCCCCTTGAGCCAGGGTCCCGGATGAAACCCTGCGCCATTCTGCACCTTGAGCCCTGCAACCTGAAGCTTACTGTTGCTGAGCAGGCAATTGAGGGCACTGGGGGCCCTGAATAGAGCCTTTAAGGGACGATATGGGGTACCTCATTCCCCCATTCCCTACTAGCTAACAGTAAGGAAGTCGCCCTGGCACTGCAGATCCAAGCAGGTTGACTGGGAGACCTTGGGTACTGGTCCTGGAAGGTCCGGAAGCTCAATGCCGAGCTGCAGTTGGTAGTTTAGGGTTTAGGGTTTCGGGTTAGGGTTTAGGGTTTAGGGTTTCGGGTTTGGGGTTTAGGGTGTAGACTCAATCCTGTTATGGCTGCTATGTTGCACTTGCACGAGAACGCGTGCAGGCACTTTTTGTGGAAGCTTGCGTAGCTGCAACAAAGCAGCAATCAGTCTGTTTTGGAGCCGCCTACCCGACCCCCCAATCCGATATCAGGACAGAGAAGCGTCAGCCCTTGCCCCTGGAGGTGCGCGAAGGGAGCCTTGAACCTAGCCAGCCTCGCATCCACAAGCCTTGCATCCCAAAACTTGAGCCTCAAGGCCACCGTGGCCTGCAAGGGCTCGTAGATTCGCGCGTTGTGCGACGGGGTGAAGTAGAGCAGGTCGAGGGTTCGGAGGCCGGGCGTAGGGCCCTTGGCATTTTCATCAGGCTTTGCCTGGTCTTCAGGTAGACTTTCCCTGGAATCGTGAATCCGGGCGATGGAATTCGACTGAAGCTCGTTGGACTAGTACTGACTTGGAGGTGTTAGTTATTGGAGTCCTCAGGTCACCCCTCGGCGCTTGCATATCGAGAATACCTAGTACCTTTGCAGCTCCAAAACTGCCAGTCGGGGTCCCCCCAAGTGCCATGTGCAGCATGCCCTGAGCAGCATGCTCTCAACTGTCAGGATCAGGAGAGCTCCTGTGAGTCTGACATGACGGAGGCCCTGAAGTGCAACCTGAGCACATAATGAGTATAGCTACTAATATTGTTATTGTTTATTGTTATATATTCAGTATGCGAATTACTACTCTTGCTAATATTTTGGATCTAAGCTCTTGGAAAGTAGCCTTGCTGGTTTTATTACTGTTATTATCATTTCCTGTCTGGGGTACTGAGACCTGGAACCGGATGCAAGTGTGTAGCTGGACTGTACAAATTTTCGGGTGGTATCTCATATATATATATGTATATATATATATATATATGTTTTTTTTGCACACATACATGTATGGTACCCCTCCCCCCCCCCCACACACACACACACACACACACACACACACACACACACACACACACACACACACACACACCCCCTCAGAGAGCCCCACAACATAAAGTCAACGATGAGCTGATTATCGGGCTGATGAGAAATCATTACTGGGGGACATGACTTTGACAACACCAAGTTAGCACGAGGGGGAAAACTTGCAAGCACATGCAATTTAAAAGGCAGGCACGGCAAGCTCTACCTAGGTTTGATCGGAATTATCTTAGTAGTGTTGCCATATGCTCATAAGATATGATAAGCAGAAAACAAGTTGCTACAAGATCAAGAGGGTGATGAACACCTCTTGAAGTGCCCAGAGTCATCCAAGCTATTAAGATAGTAGGAATCTGAAGACGGCGTGGTCTTCCTCGACGCGTCCAAGGAGGGTGCCGAACCCACAGGCCCCGGGGCATAGCTCGAGGGTTGGTTTCGGGGTACGGTTCCTATGATTTGGGCTGTTCACCCTTATACCAGCAGTCCTTAGTAGGATTCTTGTACCCCCGATGATGATGCTTATTAAGGACTGTAAGTATAAGCGGGAACATCCCAACCCATGATGTATAAGAGTTTCATAAGGCGTTCAAGGCGGGATGGCTGGACTGGGGGTCGAGTCTGCTTGAAAGATGGGCGCCTTCGGAACGTTGGTTTGTCCAGAAACTTGAGTGGCTTCCCGTGGCTTGTGTCCGCACCTCGCCCAGCGGGGGAAGTTGTCGATTTTTCTTGAGCTTATGGGGTTGAGTCAGGGAGTGTTTCGCAGCGGATGCCTCCTTTGGGTCCTTTGGGTGCAGCCTTGGGGGCTTTTTTTGGCTCTTTCTCACAAGGTAGCCTGTGCGATCGGGGTTCCTGGGCCTTGATTTGCTAAGAGCGCTGGAGAAATGACGGCATCGTTTGCTACACCCCAAATGTTTCAACGCATGCGCAACACAGGTTACTCAGGGCTTCCCCCCACCAACCCCCAAGTCTCTGAGGCGAGCACGAAACTTCGGTGGAGGAGGCTGGACAACCCCCCCCCCATTGCGGGAAGGTGGCATCTTGTAAGCTTAGATGCGGGAAGCCACCTTCTCGCCCCTGCCGGCCGGTAACAGTTTCAAGCTCGAGCGGCCAGGACGAGGCATTGAAGAGTGATAAAGGTCAAAACCCTACACTCTAAACCCTACACCCTACACCCTACACCCTACACCCTACACCCTAAACCCTAAACCCTAAACCCTAAACCCTAAACCCTAAACCCTGTTTCATTTTCTTGAGTCGACTCGTTGCCGCCTGTATGAGAGGCACCGGCATTACCAACAATGCTCGCCCACAATCTTCTGCATGCTTGTCGAAGAATATTCACACGTTCCTATTTGAAGGTGCTAGCGAAGTAGGGTTTAGGGTTTAGGGTTCAGGGTTCAGGGTTCAGGGTTTAGGGTTGTCTACCACGGGCTAGCTATGCGGTTGTACGAAAACTTCTCTTCGACAAGGTGGTACAAGGGCGGGTGCAAAACCAGATCACGGGTAGCTTCGCTGAGCGTTCTTAGACATGGCGACGGCGGAGGTCACATTGTTGAATTGGTATCATGGGTAGCATTCTATCCGCAGGCTAAAGACCCACAGGCTTTGCTTTCTCGGTGAAAGCCAGGTTCCAGCCGACGGCCACATTCTTGCCAAACGGACGCGCGAGACGGTGCGCCGCGCGAGCGGTGGAGGGAGCGGAATTGGAGCATCACTCTGAGAAGGAGTTGACCCTGAAACCTGAAAACCCTGAAACCTGAAACCCTAAACCCTGAACCCTGCCCAATCTAACTTCTGAGCTCTTTATGGTTTGGGGAGGAGCGGGAAGAGCAAGAACGTCATCCGAAATACGCCAATTGCAGGCGGGAGCCTCTTTGGTCTACAAGGCGACGCTTTACATCCAGACGGAGCTTTGCAGCAAGGCCTCACGCATCACGATGGGCCTTTCGGTTGTTATCCGGGCTGTGAGGGTGAGAGAGGGAGAGAGTGTGTGTCCCTATCATGGGGTCGGGGTGCTCGGGGGTGTTCCCCATGCAAGAAAGACAGAGAAAGAAAGAGAAAGAAAGAGAAAGAAAGAGAAAGAAAGAGAAAGAAAGAGAAAGAAAGAGAAAGAAAGAGAGCAAGATTGAGAGCAAGAAAGCAAGAAAGAGAGCAGGAAACAGAGCATGAAAGAGAGCAAGAAAGAGAAAGAAAGAGAAAGAACCAGAACAAAAGATAAAGAAAGCAAGAACGAACGATAGAAATAAAAAGAGAGAACGAGAGGGATCGACTGAGCGAGCGAGCGAGCGAGTGTGTGTGTGTGTGTGTGTGCGCGCAAGGGTGGAGAGTCTGTACGGAGGGGTTTCGGCGGAACTCTACTGGCCCTACTCCCGGGCGAGGACGCCCGGGGGTTTCTCCTGCGAAAGAAAGAAAGACAGGAAGAAAGGAATAAAGGAAGAAGTAAAGAAAGAAGTATAGAAAGAAGTAAAGAAAGAACACCTCTGGGCAGTAGCTGATGTCGTGTCCATCTGTTTCGCTCGCTGCCTCTCCTCTTTGTTGCATCGTCTCGTTTCCCATCCTTTCGTCGCCAATCGCCCACCATGTCCTTGAGGCCTGTTGCAGGGTTGCCCTTCCCTCATTTCTTTTTTGGCTCGGGTCAGATCGTGATGTTGCAAAATGAGAGTGCGCGAGATGTGCGAGCGACTGTGCGTGCGTAGTACGGCCTAGGCTCACAAGTTTAGGGCTGGTGGTAGGGCTCGGTGCCTCACACGCGAAAAGGAGACGTTGCAGAGCTGGATCTCCCAACGCAACGCCGCCGTGGCGGCTGGAAAGGCTTCGAAGGAGGACTTGGGAGCATGAGTTTAGGGTCTGGGGCTTAGGGTTTAGGGTTTCGGGTTTAGGGTTTAGGGTTTAGGGTTTGGGGTTTAGGGTTTAGGGTTTAGGGTAATTGCCTCGAAGAGCCTTCTTGGGATCGCAAAAATATTGAACGTGCCCCGCATTTGGAGAACCATCAAGCGGCTAGGCCTCAAGCTCACAAAGCTACAGTCATGATCGGCAATAAGGCTGCGACAGCGTGTGTACTGCTGCCCCACTTGCATTTTCCCTGGGCTCGAAGACTCGTCAGGAAGAGCTAGAAAGTCTCATGTTCAGGTTCGGGGCGAGTCGGGCCACTGTGCAGTGTGCGACCTGAGAGCTTGTTTTACCCTAAACGCTAAACCCTAAACCCGAAACCCTAAACCCTGCGCGAAGTTCTCCAACGTCGGAGCTCCAAAACTGGCCCCAGGATCTCAAGACCTGGGCCTCGCAAGCTGCGGGGATCTTCCGCCAGGCAGCGGGGAGGGCCGCAGTTGTGCACGTTGTGTGAAAGAAAAGAGCACCACAAACACACAACGTCAGGACATGCAGCGAGAGAGAGAGAGAGAGAGAGAGATGGAGAGAGAGAGACGGGGACATCACAAAGACACGCGGAGCAGTGGGCCGTCGCGGCCGGGGTCCCTCCACCTGGGGGGCTCTTCGCTGAGTAGAAGAAGAAGAAGAAGAAGGAAATGGAGGAAGGCAAGGCAAGCTGGACAAGGGACTCGCGCGCCCTTCGGGGGCAGCTCCCTCTCGGGGGGGCTAAGTGTGTGGAGAGAGAGAGAGAGAGAGAGAGAGAGAGCAAGCAAGAGAGAGAAATCGAGAGAAGAGAAAGCGAACAAAAAACGTGACCCACCCGAGGTGGCGAGCTCTCTCTCGAAGCTGCACGAACGTGGCCTGGCGCACCGGGACCTGAAGCCATCGAACATCCTGCCGGGAGCAAAGCAGTGTGCGGAAGACTCTGGAAGACAGAGAACACACGAAAGTAGATGAAGAGAGAGAGAGAGAGAGAGAGAAGCAAAGCACATAAAATAAAGAAGACGAAGAAGAAGACAAAAGCAAACGACAGAGCTTCTTTCAAACGTCTCTCTCTCTCTCACACATTCTGCCAAGTGGAGACATGTTAAAGCTTCAAGGCTCCAGAGATTGCCAGAGCCTGGGTGTAGGAACCCTAAACCCCAAACCCCAAACCCAAACCCTAAACCCTAAACCCTAAACCCTAAACCCTAAACCCTAAACCCTAAACCCTAAACCCTAGGGTTTAGGGTTGGCCGGAGGTTCGGAGTCGACGGAGGCATGGCAGCCTTTGCAGCACATTTCTCCGGCTCCCTGAAGGGATGCAAGAGGAAAGCCGAGTTTCGGGTTGCCCCTGGCCCAACCCATAGCTTCCGTTTGCTCAAGCCCCGAATCCCCCATGTCTGGATGCCAGTTCCAAGGTTAGGGTTTAGGGTTTAGGGTTTAGGGTTTACGGCTTGGGGCTTGGGGCTTGGGGCTTGGGGCTTAGGGCTTAGGGTTTAGGGTTTAGGGTTCAGGGTTTAGGGTTTAGGGTTTAGGGTTTAGGGTTTAGGAGCTCAGAAGGTTTGGACCAGAGAAACCGAGCAAACGTGTTCACACGAAGGTCGAAGCTGAGTGTCCTGCCTGCCACAGACTCAAGTCCAGAAACTCCCCTAAACCCTAAACCCTAAACCCTAAACCCTAAACCCTAAACCCTAAACCCTAAACCCTAAACCCTAAACCCTAAACCCTAAACCCTAAACCCTAAACCCTAAACCCTACACCTAAACCCTAAACCCTAAACCCTAAACCCTAAACCCTAAACCCTAAACCCTAAACCCTAAACCCTAAACCCTAAACCCTAAACCCTAAACCCTAAACCCTAAACCCTAAACCCTAAACCCTAAACCCTAAACCTCCATTTTCTCCTTCCGGCGCCCGTGCTGTGCTGACTTGTGGAGGCGTACGCCTGGGTGATTTCGGATTGGCAAAGCTGCTGGACCGAGATCTGACCAGAGGGTTTAGGGTTTAGGGTTTAGGGTTTAGGGTTAGCGTTTTTTGAGTGTGAGTGGGAGCACTGACCAAGCTCATCTACCACTTTCTCGTGTTGGCCCTCTTTGTTGCAAAATATACAAAAACGACCTTCTGTAGAATAATATACTTCTCTCTTACCTCGAAGCTGCTGCGCAGCTGGGCTGTGCAAGGGCCGGCTCCCAAATATGGTAACTTCTCAGTGCAGCACAGTATTGCGGGATGCCATCAGCAACTTGCTGTGGGTTAGTAGGGAATGAGGGAATTAGGGCCCTATATATACATATATATATACATACATATATACATACCCTTTAAGGGATCATATCGTGTACCTCATTCCCCCATTCCCTGCTAACCAACAGTAAGGAATCATTGTCGAACAAGTTGCCATGCCCAACGACCTTTTGCTTACTTCTCTCCCAGCCTCTGGACCTGCAAGTCTTAACTTAAGCTCCCACCTTCGACTCGCTTCCCAAGTCAAAGACCTGGGTTTAGGGTTTAGGGTTTAGGGTTTAGGGTTTAGGGTTTAGGGGGATGAGGAAGCCCAAGCGCCTCCGTGGAGCCTCAACAATCCCTGAGATTCGGAGCAGGACACAGCCGAAGAGGCCCCACAGCCCAGGCCTCATCTCCTTTTTCGTTTAGGGTTTAGGGTTTAGGGTTTAGGGTTGGTTTAGGGTTTAGGGTTAGGACTTCTAGGGATTTCGATGTGGCTTCTTGTGAACCGCATCGAGCCGCGGAATGCGTCATGGCTATGGGCAGCCAAGGAAGTCTGTTCCGTTGCACTTCTAGAATGTAACGGAATATGCTCGAGTTCACGGTTGCTTTGTGCAGTGCTTCCATGCAAGGCTGCGACGCTCCCAATCGGCAGGCCGGAAGATCGCGCACAAATCGCGGTAGAGGGCTTCACGGACTGCTTGAATCGGGCTGAACCGGGGACCTTCTGAACGCGCTATTTGGGTTGCGCGAGCATGTCAGATGCTAAGAAGGGTCGTGTGATTCAGGAAGCTGCCCTCAGGAGGCCCAGAGTGCAAGAGTCATCGCCCTAAACCTCCAGCCAAACTCGTGCTAGGCCAGGGGTCGCACCAGGATGTTCGAAAGTGACCGAGAAGGGTTTTTCTTCTTTCCGAGCCTCAGCTTCTAAGCACTTTGCCCTTGCCATTGCAGGACCTCGAGGGTTTGGGAGCGGGGCCCAAGTCAACTCGAACCGCTAGAGCCCTTCCCATCCTGAACCCTCCAGCTTCCGGACATGGACTCTGGACCCCCCTGTGCCTGAGCACCCCTGCCCCCCAGCGCGCGCCAGGCGTGGGTACGCCCATCTACGCCAGCCCAGAGCAGCTCTCCGCCGACTCCTACAGCGTGAAGACGGACATCTTTGCGGCACCCTCAGTTTTCAAGGGTGCCGGGCTGTGCTCCCCTGAGTTAATCAAGGGCTGGGGAGGCCAAGCAATGCGGCCTGCGAGCCCACCCAAAATCTGAACTTCAACACAAAAACGCCTACACTCCTAGACCCTCAACTCAAACTTTGAATCAACTCATAGACTAGAAGTCCCTAAAGCCCGAACCCCTAAACCCTAAACCCTAAACCCTAAACCCTGAACCCAAAACCCTAAAGCCTCCGAAGTTTCGGCATCAGAGGCCTTGGGAATGATCCTGGCGGAGTTGCTGTGCCCGGCCTGGGCTCCCAGAGGCTTATGCTTCAAGGTCAGCGGCAATTTTAGCTATGGTGTAGGGTTTAGGGCTTAGGGTTTGGGGTTTAGGGTTTAGGGTTTGGGGTTTTTGGGTGGCAGGCACGTGTTGTCGTCGGATGTTGCTTTTTCTGGGTTCGGAACTTGCGAGGGCTTCGACCGGCTGTTGAATCATAGCAGAGTTCATGATGTTTTCTGCACCTGACACGTGTATATAAGTGGTGCACGCAAGCCGCGTTCAATCACCATTTTACCCGAGCACATACCCTAGTTAGAAATTTAGAGCTGTGCCCTGGCTGCTCTCCATTTCCACCATTTGCGGACCCACATGTCTCTGAACTAAAGGGGGGTCATCCTGCGATCAAGCCCTTTAGTTACCTAGCAGGGATATGGAGGTTTACGAAAATAGTGCGACCCCCAAATTTTTAGGATCCCCTTATTGTAAGGACCCCAATAACCGAGAAGCACCGCTCCATCTTTACAGTAACAGTGTTCTTTAGCTCCTGCATGGCGGGCTGACATCGCCGACACAAACTTCAGTAACATAACTCAATACTGTTGACGGTCATGGGCTCTTGGGTTGTATAGGTTTGTAAGAGGAATATATGGGGTCCCTTTTAAAGGCCCAAATTAAAGGACCATGTGACTACCCCAAGATGTTCGTCGTGGGGCGAGGTTGCGACGCAAATGGAGCGAGCCGCACTCTTCGAGAGCCTTCGCAACGGCAACGGCTGGGTCCTCTCTACCTTGGGATTGTTCAAAAAAGGATTAGGATTTTGGTGTCGGTCTGAGCTCCTGGCTCTCCTGGCTCTCCTGGCTCTCCCTGGCTCTCCTTGCTCTCCTGGCTCTCCTTGCTCTCTCTTTCTTTTTGGGGCAGGGGCGCAACTCTTTAACGGGAGCGGAGGCGCTACCGGTAGCAGTATGAGCCTTCATGAATCACCAACTGTCAGTCATCCTCGCCGTCATCATCTTCATCATCGTCATTATGATCATCGATCATCAGAATCATGCTCACGACCCTCTCATGGCTTATTGGCGGAGGTTTGAGGCTTTGAAAAGATGCACTATTTGTTCATGCGTCTTATGTCCCGGCCCCCCCCCCTCCGCCCAATCCGATTTCGCAACGACGACAATACATGCCACTAATCGGTCTGTGCTGACATAAAATCAGTCAGCAGATTGTGATGCGGCTGCTTTGGCCAAGGGTAGGTTGGCTGATGCTAGTGATGTACGGCCCTCATACATAGCACAAATATAGTGGTAACAAATTTGATGGTTGACTGTATTGTAAGTAATAACTAATTCAGCAATATGTAGTAATTGGTTATTGCTAGTATTTTTGGCATTATTAGATGATTATTAATACGTACCATCATCAATAGTAGTATTAAGTCAGTTCATCGTTAGTTATTGTCACCTATGTTGCCTTTCTGATATTTGCAAACAATACTTCCCTAAACCCTAAACCCTAAACCCTAAACCCTAAACCCTAAAGCTTAACAAATTGGGGATGTGGCATCTTCAGCCGGGTGATGCTGTGCTGCTGGGGGATGGCAGCTTCGGCCACGTGCGGAAGGTGCTGCGGCTGTTGCTTCGGATGGACACTCTTGAGCCTGTCGATGTTGTATTGATAATAATCATCATCATAATACTCATAATAGTAGTAATCGTAATAAGAATAAGAATAAGAATAAGAATAAGAGTAGTAGTAGTAGTAGTAGTAGTAGTAGTAGTAGTAGTAGTAGTAGTAGTAGTAGTAGTAGTAGTAGTAGTAGTAGTAGTAGTAGTAGTAGTAGTAGTAGTAGTAGTAGTAGTAGTAGTAGTAGTAGTAGTAGTAGTAGTAGCAATAATAATAATAATAAGAAGAAGAAGAATAACAATCGTAGGGCAAAAAGCTGTGCCCACCACAGTTCAAGGCCTGCCCACGGACATCAAGACCAGCTTTCCCAAGGCGCGCGGGAAAGAATTTCTGACAACTGCTGTGGCTCCCGGCATCCCTAAACCCTAAACCCTAAACCCTAAACCCTAAACCCTAAACCCTAAACCCTAAACCCTAAACCCTAAACCCTAAACCCTAAACCCTAAACCCTAAACCCTAAACCCTAAACCCTAAACCCTAAACCCTAAACCCTAAACCCTAAACCCTAAACCCTAAACCCTAAACCCTAAACCCTAAACCCTAAACCCTAAACCCTAAACCCTAAACCCTAAACCCTAAACCCTAAACCCTAAACCCTAAACCCTAAACCCTAAACCCTAAACCCTAAACCCTAAACCCTAAACCCTAAACCCTAAACCCTAACCCTAAACCCTAAACCCTAAACCCTAGAATCTACGGCTTCATGGTCTCGGGGCAGGGCCTGGGTGTTGAAGAGGGGGCTTACGAAAATAAGGGACCCCTCATATAGACCCCGAGTAGTAGGATTGCCGTAGAATAAGGACCCCAAAGAGGTACCCTAATTTCGGCAACCCCTAAGATGCTTGGTAAAGTACAGCTCGCATCCGTTCAAACATGGTGGAAACGAAGCAGTTTGATTGCTAAGCTGACCTTGTTCGGCTGATTCCTAATCTTCGCCTTTTCAAGCAGCCTTACTCTCCGTCGGCCCGGCTCTCTGCGGTGAGCTGTGGCTGGGAGATCACTTTTCACGCATGAGCATCATGTTGAACAAGAAACAGTTCTCCTCGACCCAAGCGTCCTTCGGACAATTTTCGCAGGCAGCGCGCCTGGTTGAGGCCTGCGAGGGGTTAGGGAGGAAGGCGTGACAGGGCACAGCTTAATCCAGTATGAAAACCCCCTGCACACAAATCCAACCATCGTGCAAGCAAGATAAGACCAATTTCCGCAGATTCAACAAGCTCTGTGCCTTGAAGCTGCAAGCCTTGCACCAAGGTTTTCAACACCAGCCTCCCCAATTGTGCCCGTAGGCTTTGAACATGTCAACATGCTTGGCCGCTATCTGTATCATAAAAGGTCTGTGTCGGGGATCGCCAATTCATGCTGAGAAACTCTCATTCTGCATTCCTGCCGCCCCGACATGTTGAGTAATGCGTGAAGAGGAACTGTAAGTGCCTGGAAGCAATCAACAGTTGACAAACGAAAGCTTCGGGCGCAGAAGCTGCTTCAGGACACGCAGGCACCAACGAATTAAATCAAGGTCTTCTCTCGGCCCTGCGACAGAATGCTCGAAACACGCTTGATCAGAATGGCTGCATTTCTTCTCTTCGTGCCAGATTCTCTCAGTGCGTTGCAGACCGACTACCAATGAGACCCCCTTAAGAAACCTCCCCGAAAGCTCTGGAACCAAACGACGAGACACAAAAACAAAAACAGCTCGAGGCAATGACGCAGCACGAGGCCGAGAGCCGGCCCAGCGCTGACGAGTTGTTGCAGGCGCATCGGAGGGCTTGGAGGGCGGGCTTCTTGGGAGTGGTATAAGGCCCAGGACTAAGTGGGTCAAACGGTAAGGCGCAGGACTAAGTGGGTCAAACAGGTGTCGGGGCGCCGTTCCGGGTCGGGGACTGGGCCAGGTGCAGTCGCGGAATGGGCAGTGTCGGCAAACTCGCCCAGGTCAGTGTCAGCTTCCTCCGAGCGTTGTGTCGGAGACTGTCAAGCCATGTTGTCAGGGAGTTGTCACGGCTTGAGAAGTAAAACAAAAAAGGCGGGGGCGGGGGGGCGGGGTGGGCGGGGTGGGGGTGGGGGGGAGGGCCCATAGACGTACGTTGCCAAAAGAGGGCTGGCTCAGTCGTTTCATAAAGGCGCCTTCAACATCCTTGACAAAGAGGCTGCCAGATGCTTGACCGCCCTGCCAAGCATTGAGCGACAGGCGCATGATGAGATCGTCGGAGAAGTGGGCCAGCACCTCGCCCTGGATGCTCCTTGGAACGCAATGCCAGGCGGATTTGGCTAAAGGACCGCAAGGGTCCCAGTGTCCTAAGCATCCGTGAGCCCTAACCACAGGAATTCGGGGCAAAGGGTTGTCGACACGCTCCTGGTACTGGTGTAGAGTCTAGGATTCATCACGCTGGCCAATGTACCGCAGATTCGAACTGGGTTTGCAAGATTTTTGCAAGCTCGTAAAGTAACACTTTTCCCATGACACAGTCTGCAGAGAAGCACACCTAGCTACAAAAGCTCGCGTCGCGGTTGTCCGCACTTAGGCCGAAGCATCAGAGTCCTAGACGCAGAGAAGACCATCTCCGACGAGGCTGCTATGCAAGACGTGAAGATTTCACGAGGGCTTCGGGGGCTAGAAGGATCGAGCAAGGAGAGTGCGCTGGATTTCATGGTGACAACGCAGAAAAGACATGCATGTAAGGGTTATGATGTAAGCTTTGGTAGATTCCGGCATATTCTTCACATGGATGGACATCTCGACCCATTCCCGAACTGGTGTTGGCGAAGTGCTGTGCATGCATGGGCTTAGTGCTGTGCATGTTTGTGGTCCGGGAGGGAGTTAAGTTTGGGGTTTGTTCTCCCCTAAACCCTAAACCCTAAACCCTAAACCCTAAACCCTAAACCCTAAACCCTAAACCCTAAACCCTAAACCCTAAACCCTAAACCCCAAGTCGCCTGGACCTGCACCATGAGAAGCCGCTTCAACCCCGCAGGCGTGCAGTTACTTCCAGAGAGGTGAATTCGGCCCGGTGTCGAGTGGGCAACTCCAATGCTGAACGCTGTTGGCGGTTGCAGCCCGCAGCATGCCCTGCATGTTATGCTGCACGCTTGAGGGTTTTCATGGTCGTGGTGCCTCTTCGGGGCCCCTTATGGCTGGATTCTGTACTCTACACCTGACGTCTCTTCTTGTGGCCGCGGACTGTTGCAGCTGCCAACTGGGAGACGCTTCCTGCCGGTTGGCTTTGAAGCACTCTACCCTTGACCCGTGGCCCCACCGTATAGGGCCTGGGTTGATGTAGGGCCTGGATCTGAAATTCAGAGAAGTTCGGGCGTACTTACCAGGCTCGCTTCAGGTAGAGGATGCAGGCTTCAACGCCAGCTGGTAGCTGCGCTTCTCCTGTACGCCGTACGCATTTAGTAATTCTGTACAGTGCCTGCTGTTT